CCCTTGTGCTTACCAGGCAAGCGCTTATTCTACTAAGCCATCTCCCTGGCCCCTGAAAGTTTTAAACTTACAGCAAATGCGGCAAAATGTTACTATTAATTTTATTTATTTATTTATTTATTTGTTTATTTATTTTTGCAGTACCAGGCATCAAACTGAACTTGCACTTGCCAGGCAGGGGTTTATGCTGCTGAGCTATGTCCCAGGCCCTACTGTTTAATCTAAGTGGCAAAAATAGCACAGCACAGAGATGGGAGTTTGATTCCTAGTGTGCTGTGCAGGCCCTGCCCTCAGGGCGGGAGCTGAGCTGTGGATGGAGTCTGGGTGTGGCGGCATGCGCCTGTAATCCCAGCACTTGGGAGGCTGAAAACAGGAGAATCACTGAGTCCGATCTGTGTAGTAAGACCCTGTAGACCCTGTCCTAAATACATTTTTTTAAAAAATCTAAGTGGCAAAAATAAAGATGATTTTTTTTTTTGGTAATCTTTCTATATTTTTGTTTGAAAATATTTCAAAATTAGGGCTGGGGGGACAGGGCGCGCATGTTCTAGACTGCGCGGGGTGCTCGCCTCCTCCGCAGCACTCTCCCGGGTCAGTATCATCTCTGTTGAAGGAAAGGAGCGAGATCATGGCTTCAATCTGGGTTGGACGCCGAGGGACAGTAAGAGATGATCCAGGCTTTAGTCCATCAGTGGATGCTGAAGCGATCTGTAAGGCAATCAGAAAAATCAAAACTGATGAGAAAACGGTCAGCAGCATTCTGACAGAGAGATCCAATGCACAGCGGCAGCTGACTGTGGAGGAATATCAGGCAGCCTGCGAGAAGGAACTGAAAGTCGACCTGAAAGGTGACCTCTCGGGCCACTTTGAACATCTCATGGTAGCTCTTGTGACTCCCCCAGCAGTGTTTGATGCAAGGCAGCTAAAGAAGTCCATGAAGGGCACTAGAACAGATGAAGATACCTTGACTGAAATCCTAACTACCAGAACAAGCAGGCAAATGAAGGAGGTCTCGCAAGCCCATTACACAACTTATAAGAAGAGTCTCGGAGACGCCATCAGTTCTGAAACATCTGGTGACTTCTGGAAAGCTCTGCTGACTTTGGCAGATGGCAGAAGAGATGAAAGTCCGAAAGTGGATGAACATCTGGCCAAAAAAGATGCTCAGATTCTCTATAATGCCGGTGAGAACAAGTGTGGCACGGATGAAGATAAATCCACCGAGATCCTGTGCTTACGGAGCTTTTCACAGCTGAAACTAACATTTTTTTTTAATTTATTTTATTTATTTATTTATGTGTGTGTGTGTGTGTGTGTGTGTGTGTGTGTGTGTGTGTGTGTGTGTGGCCAGCTCAGCCCACCAGGGGGCAGGGCTGGCTGGCATGTGGTGCTGGGGGATTGAACCACGGTCCCTGTGCTTTGCTAAGCTTGTTCTAAGTAGGTGCTTTAGACCACTGAGCCATCTCACCAGCCCCTGAAACTAACATTTGATGAATACAGAAATATCAGCCAGAGGGACATTGAGGACAGCATTAAAGGAGAATTATCGGGGCATTTTGAAGACTTGCTGTTGGCCATAGTTCACTGTGTGAGGAACACACCTGCCTTTCTAGCTCAGAGACTGCACAGCGCTTTGAAGGGTGCTGGAACTGATGAGTTTACTCTAAACTGAATAATGGTTTCCAGATCAGAAATGGACCTTTTGGACATTTGCTATGAGTTTGAGAAGCACTGTGACTATTCCCTATATTCCGCCATCAAATCTGATACTTCTGGAGACTATGAAAGCGCACTCCTAAAGATCTGCGGAGGAGATGACTGAGTCAGGCTTGTCGCCCAAGCTTACCTGCTCTCACTGAGGTCCCCAACAGTTCTGCTTTCTTCTTTCCTGTAGTATTTAAAGTACACTCAAGTGTAAGACAGCAACTTCTTTGCCTCACAGTAATTGTATTTGTTCCATAGAACAACAACAACAAAAAAGTAATTATTTAGAGCAACTCTTTCATGATGTAGCTTATAAATGAAATTTTAAATGGCACTAAGAGTTTGTGGCTGGCCAAATAGCTCAGCAGACTAAGGCAGGCACAGGGACCGGGCTTCAATCCCCGGCCTGCCATGCTGGCCCCACCCCCAGGACGCGCTGAGAAGGCGATTGAGACTGGGCATGGTGGTGCCTGCCTGTAATCCTAGCACTTGGGAGGCTGAAAACAGGATCACTAGGAGTCTGATCTGTGTAGTGAGACCCTGTAGACCCTGTACTCAATACATAATAATGAAAAAAATGCAAATATTTCTGTTTCAGGAATAACAATCTAAATCGTTAAATATAAAAAAGAAAAGTAGTAAAAAATGGTTGCTTTTGTTCCATATGATTGATCTACTTGTTTTTAGAGTCTACTAAAATTGTGTGGTGTCCAGTGCCAAAAACTATTGATACTTGTTGTAAAAACTGTTACCGCTTTTAAAATATTTTTGTCAGGGCCGGGGAGATGGCTCAGCGGAATACGCACTTCTCTGGCAAGTGCAAGGGCCTGAGTTCAATCCCCGGTTCTGCAATAAAATAAAATAAATAAAATAAAATAAATATTTTTGTCTACTTCTTTGTTAATCAAGGTCTTTTGAATAAGGATTTTTTTTTTTGTTGTTGTTGTTGTTCCTTGCATGCCTTCAGGGCACGTTTGGCCAGCGGGAGAGTTGTGAGGTTCGAACTCCAGCCACCTGAGGCTGACAGCTTTGTGGAAGCAGCCACTTAAAGGACTGAGCTAGGCCCAGGCCCCCCAATCAAGGTCTTTTGAAACATTAAAATTTTAATGTACCATGAAAAAAAATTAAGGCTGGGGAGATAGCTCAGTAGAATAAGTGCTTGCCTAACAAACGCAAGGTCCTGAGTTCAATCCCCAGTACCACAAAAAAAGAAAAAGAAAGAAAGAAAAGAAATGAAAATATTCAAAACTAAAAATTGGGGAAAAAAATTAAAATTTGCATAGTACCACAAGCAGCTAATCCCAGCACTCAGGAGGCTGAAGCAAGAGAATCTCTATGAGTCTGAGGTCAGCCTGGGCTACACTGTAAGTTCAAGGGCATCCTGAACTAAATAGCTCTGTACTTGAGTCCTCTTTTTCTTCTTTTTTAAAATTTTTTTTCCCTGAGACAAGTTCTTGCTATGCAGCCCAGATGCTGCATCCCCACGCCTGGTTTGGGGTCCTCTTTCTAATAAGACATGGGGAGTACATGCCCCAGCAGTCCCCAGCCTCCAGTGGGTGGTAGTAGAGTCACAGGCCCTCCACCAGGCTGGGTTTAGCTGCTCCTTCCACTCCACCTCCATAGTCCTCTCTTCCAGAGTGGCTTGAGCACCTGCTGCAGTGGCTCAGGTCCACAAGGCACTGTGCTGTCCTAGCACACACTCACCTTTGTGCTGCAGCCACACTGTGCTCTTTCCACCATCCCACATCTGGAATCGAGCTGCTCTGAGCACCCAGCCTGTGCAGAACAACTCTCAGACAGTGGGTCAGCCAGGAGAGGCCTGAGGCTCCTGCTTCTGCAGTGAGTGAGCGCTCCACAGTCAGGCCAAGAGCTTGCAGTGCACGTATCTGGCTACAGCTGTGAGAACAAAGGCTCCAAGAGGCCATGTGACAGCCCCATTCAGTTCACCACACTTACTAAACATCTGCTATGTGCCAGGGACTACTGGGAGCTAGAGATTAAAAACTGTGCCTGGGCCAGGTGTGTTGGTGCACACCTGTAATCCCAGCATTCTTCAAGGATGAAGCAGGAAGATCACAAGTTCAAGCCTAGCCTGGGCAATTCTTTTTTTTTTTTTTTTTTTTTTTTGCGGAACTGGGGATTGAACTCAGACCCTTGCGCTTGCCAGGGAAGTGCTTATTCCACTGAGCCATCTCCCCGGCCCCATAGCCTGGGCAATTCAGTGACTTAGTGAGACCTTGTCTCCAAAAGGAAGCGTGGTGTATGGGTCAATAGATATATAGCTCAGCAGCATGCCAGGGCCCTGGGTTGGATCCCTAGCACTACATTAAAAAATAAAGAAAAGAGCTTAAAGCACTGTGAAGACACAGGGTATAGAAATCAAGGGAGGCGCACGGAACATCAGCAGTGTCTTCAGGATAAGGGTAAAGCAGGCTGAGTTGGAGGAGAGGCACCACGTGCTGAGCAGCCTGGCGCCAAGCTTGGGCTCTAAGCCACAGCATTTGGGGAGGGGCTGCCAGCAGTGGGTGGCTGGCAGAGCCTACAAAGAGGCAGAGCGAACTGGGGTCTTGCAGCTCCTTGGCATGCTCGGCTCTAACCCCGCATCCTGGTGCCCAGGTAACTGTGACAGCGGCACTTGAGAGACTCCGCCAACGACCTCCTGGACGGGGCAGGTTTGCACAGTAACCTGTAAAGCACAGCTGTAACAACCCATCCCGGCGGGGCCTGGCCTCTTCGTGAGTACTGTTACACACTCTTTAAGGAGGCTTCAGAAGCTGGCTCAAGGACCAGCGCTGCGGACCCAGCCCTTGCTTCGCACTGAGCGGTGGGAGAGGCTGAGAGCGCCCGGTGAACCGCGCGCGGAGCACGGCCCAGGATTCGGACTCAGAACCACCCCTGGGCCGGTACAGGGAAGAGCGGGGTGGGCGCGCCCCGCAGGGCTCGCAGCCCGGGGCCGCGCGGGACGGAGCGGACCGGCCACCGAAGGGGTGGGGTGGCCGCGGCCGGGCTGGCTCCTCCCCTGGCCTCCACGCCGC